AAGCTCTGTAATACAATTTGAAATTTGGAAGAGCAAGACCACCTGTCTTTTACTAACAGTTTCTTGCCATTCTTGTAAAGTTTTTTCTGAAATCTGAATTGGTGCCATTTGAAACAAGTAGTTCATCTTAATACATTTATCTTAATAATCACAATTGATCCTAATCAAGAAAACTTTACATTTTTAATTGTTCTGATATATTTCTTGATTATTGTCTGTAAAATGCAAACCCAGATATTTCACTGAATATCTTTGCACAGATTCTTCTGTTAAATGTCTTGTAATTATTTTTGGTTTTTTAACATTAATTTTATATCCTAATAATTCTCCAAAGCATTGGATTATTTTCGTCAACTGTCTTACTGCACTTTGTGGTTCTGTGATAGTTAATACTATATCATCTGCATAACATTCGAGCTTGTATTCCTCTCGACAGTATTGAGACCAGGTATTTGTCACCTTGAATCTTTTCTGCCAATATTTTTAAGGCGATGATAAATAATAGAGTCTCCCCTATTATTTATCCTCGCCTACTGGGAATTCTTGCCTAGTGCTTTTACTTATTTGGAAAACTGCAGGAAGTGCTCCATTGGCCATGGTCTTTCCCATTTGTTGTTGATATTTACTTTTAACCCAGCCTTTGAACTCTTACCCAGGATTTATTTTGTTCAATACTGCAAGTCAAATCAAATCAAATTCTTTATTACAGATTAGCAACCCAGACTAAATAAAACCTACAGAATACAGCTACAAAATAAAGTAAGGCATGCAAGATAAAAAATGGGCAACCATGCTGGCACTGTTTTGCTATCAGAATATACAAATTTTAAAAGTAACAAACTGAGAACCAATTTGGTCTAGTGGTTAAGGCACCAGGCTAGAAAGCAGAAGACTCTGAGTTCTAGTCCTGCCTTAGGCATGAAAGCTGGCCGGGTGACTTGGGGCAGTCACTTTCTCTCAGCCCAGCTCACCTCACAGGGTCATTGTGAGGAAAATAGGAGGAGGAAGGAGTAGTATGTTCGCTGCCTTGAGTTATTTATAAGAATAAGGAGGGATAAAAAAATCTAAAAAAACCCAAACTTTGCAATGGCAAGAGTTTGGGTCCTTATCTGTCAGTAAAAATTGAACATAAAATTCTTTAGTATGTTGTGGAAATGCAGTTAGAAGAGGTGTTGGTATATTGTTTATGTATATTTCTTTATGTATATTAGTGTATTTATGTATCTTTATGTATATTAGTTTGTGTTTCAGTACTGCCAACTTTACATGGGTAGAGCTTTTCTGCATATGGAATTTCACAAAATTTTTTTATCCAGCATTGCTGACAGTATAATATTGAACTGTAATAATGTAAATGTTAGTCAAAAGTTATTGTTTATAGGTTGATCTAAGGACAATGCTGCTTTGAAAAGTGCATTGCTCTCGTCAGTTGTACCAGGTGACAGTTTACTTGTTTCTGTTTGTAATTCTATATCAAGGATCCTTTGCTTAAGCATCACCATTGCCTGATCTTATCCCAAGGGTATGATTATCTTCCTTGAAAAATCTAGTTCATATAATTTTTTTCTCAATTTGTTTTTTCTAAGAGGAACCATTTATTTATTAATATTAGCTGTGTCAGACCCTGAGGTTGGAAATGAACCTTCAGCTTTTAAGCTTTTGACTTTTGTCAGTTCTGCCTCCAATCACAGGGCAACATTAGGCATGCATTTCACCACTTAATAGCTTTCTTAGAAATTTTGACCGTACTCTTTCCAAGTTCTGATAATTAATTCCTTGGTTTAATTGGGCTCTGTACAACAGCTGGGATAATGTCTTGGCTTCAAAAAGTTTGAGGGCAGCTGGTATGTACTGGGCAGCTCTGGAGAAGAAGAAAGAAAGAATTGCCCCTCTGACATTTGAACAACCTGAGTGGCATGCATATGATATTTCCTAGAGTAATACAGCACAAAGCCCAAGTATTTGAAGCTGGGAATCTGCTCTATTTTATGTCCTTCAAGAGTTCAATATGATTTTTTAAAACTCCTCGCAAAACGGATGGAACTTTGTTTTTTCATAATTGATCTGAATGTTCTTTACAGAAATGGGTCAAAACTCCCAAGGCCCTTCTGAGGCCTATCAGCGTTTGTGATAATAGGCTGGATTGTCTTCATAAAGCAGTATAGATATAGGTCTGCTATCCAGTTTGGGGGGATGAAAATCTCCCTTGTTAAGGATACTAGCCATTGCATTAATATAATAATTAAAGAGTAATGAGGCCAAAATATACCTTTGTTAACCCTCTTGCAACTAAAAATGGCCACTCCAAATTACCAAAGGCTTTTTCTGCATCTAGGAATATTAATGCTGTCTTTTGGTTATTCATGAGATGTTCTGTTGTACAGTATTGATTATAAACCAGTTGTTGTCCTTTATATTCCTCTTTAGAATATAACTTGCTTGATCAAGATGTATTATATCCAAAACACTTTCCTTTAGTTATTCACTAATATTGTTGTGAAAATTTTATACTGTATTCAATATTCAACAAAGAGTTTTGTCTGTATCACTGTGTTTTTTCTGGGTCATTCAGTTCTTTATAAATCAAAGTTATGTATACTTCTACCCATGTTTGTAGTATCACCTTTGTCTCTTTATTTTCATTCTTTGTGTTTGTTAATGGTTCCAACAATTCTTCCTTGAGTTCTTCATAATATGGAGTGGTCAGCCCATCTAGACCTGGTGCCTTCCCAAATTTGATTTCTTTTATTGCTTTTTTTGTTTCTTGGATAATTATAGGTTTACTTAATATTTGTATATGTTGATCATTCAGTTCTTTAAGGACAGATTTTTCAATTAATTTGTTCATGGCTGCTTCATCAATGTAATAGCTTAGTCACTTTTTTTATTGCTGATATTGTCTGTACAGTATTTCTTTTTTCTAATCTGATATGCTAAACATGCTCCTGGTTTATTTGCATGTTTCCCTTTCATTTACATTTCATTGACTTAAATTTATTGAAAGGGCTACTCAGCATTGCATCGATCATGTAATTGTAGTCAGAAAAACAAGATTCCATCCTCCTGTCCTAAATTCATCTGCTGCAGTGCAGAAAGAAATCCAAGATTGGATTATTTTTGTGTGAGGGTGTATGAATATAGATCTGTAACAAAAAAACAACAGAGCATGTGCTTTTCAAGTGCCTGTACTACAGAGACATTCATACTAGCCTCATCTCACTACATACCCAGGGTTCACAGGACAATTCTATCCCACGCTGTTACTTTCAAATATCAACCCTGTTACAAACATACAATGTTGCCTGGTTTTGTGCAGCAGCACTCAAAATTCATCAGATGATGACCTGTGCTTAAGGCACAGTAAACTAGATTTAATGAGCACCTAGTTTGCCATATTGCAGTGCTTTGTAACCTGATAGATACAGCCTTCAACATACTTTTATGGTCCTCTACACCCATCTAATGCTCCTACCCTTTGTTTTAGATTCTTGCTTTTTATATATACTCTTAGTTTTTACTCTCTATATCTTTTATGTCTTCTAGCTTTTTATAATTTTTTTAGATTTTTATTTTTACTCTTGATGTATCCTTTATGCTTTTTAATGATCGTATCCCACCCTCCTTATGATGGTCTATGACCATAATAAAGATTTGATTTGAAGAGCAACAAAAATAATTTAAGACACTTACTAAGAAAGCAGATACAGGTTGAATGTTAGGAGAAATTTCCTAACAGTAAGAGTAGTTATTTTAATAGCATTTTAATACAGTCACTGAAAAGCTGTGTATTAAACACTATAAATGCTAAAAATAAAATACTAAAATGTTTCAATACTTAACACTAATTGACTAAATTATAAAACTACTTTTAGTAGTTTAGTAATTCAGTATGATAGTGTGTATATGTATATGTGTTTGTAAGTTTGTGTGTGTGTGTGTGTGTGTGTGTGTGTGTGTATGAACTGTGACAAGTGAAGTGTAACATAAAACACTGTAGAAAGCATATGACATTTTGTATAGTTATAGTTAGAATGCTTTCCAGCACAGAGCAATGACAGCTGAAAGAAATTTTGCAATTTTCCTGGAAATGTTAGAGTTCCAGTCTGACTGTAAAAAGCAATAATAGCCCCCTAAGACCAGTAGTTTTATGAGCAAGCATGTTTATGAGGGCAGGGTGCAAGTTGCTGTAGAAAGGACATCAAAGGAACATGTGGGCTGGAGTCTCAGATTCTTCCAGGTCATAGGGGCAGGTTCACTCTGCCAAAGAGATATTGCTGTACCTTCCTTTCAGTATTGCAGAGGATAAGACATTAAAGCAGGCTAAAGAAAAAGGCTAATGGCAGATTACTGAATAGCCAATTTGCTGGTGTAAAGGGTCTCTTGCTGATAACCTGTCATCACTGCTTACATAATTCACCCTGCTCTATTTTGAGAGTTATGTCAAACACCGTCTGCTGGACTGTAGCTCTAATTTTTAATAGCCCTGTGGCATAAGAAGCTGCACTGGCATAGATAATTTTGAATTCTGGCTTTCTAAAAAGAGGTAAAGTTATTAAGAAAAATGTGGTAGCCAGGAAATTGCTGGAAAAGTGAGAGCAGAAATAGAGCCAAGAAGGCCATAGATTCCAGGGGTATATAAGGGTAGTTCAACAATGGAACAAATTGCTAAATGAGATTTGCTTTGTTGGTTGTGTGCAAACCGATGCTGGATGGCCATTTGTCATAAATACTTTAATTTGGATCCTATACAGGATTGGGTTGATGACTTAATAGCCCCTTCCAATTATCATTTTATGCTGCTTTCATTTAGATTCTGATGAAATGAGAACACTTTTTATTTTAACATCTGTACATGATACTTTGCAGGGTGATTGTTGACCCCAATAAGAAACAAAATGCAGGATATAAATTTGATGAATACATAAAATACATACAAATTAACATTTAGTATTAACATTTATTGCATTAAGTAATAAATATTTTGATTCTGATTCTTAAAGGTTATCCTTTTCCTACTGCTCCTCCAGTAGATCCATTTGCAAAAATTCGAGTGGATGACTGTGGAAAAACAAAAGGATGCTTTAGGTCAGTATGAAACAATGAAAGTTTGTTAGTTTTTTTTTTTCCAAAATAAAACCAATCTGACCTATGAACAAGGTCCCTATATGAATTGTTTCAGTAAATGTATCCTACTAGCAATCATTTATTAGTAACTCTGAGTCCATGTGAAGTTCTCCAGTACTGAAATTCATTTGTTTACACAACTGAAATATAGAGTTGTGCATGGATTTAAAAAAACCTTCTAAGGACAGAACTAAAGTGATATCTTTGGGCTGTGTTTTAATAGCACAAAACTCAAAAATTTGAGTGTTTCACCATAGAGAACAATAGGAACAAGACCTTTGCTTCCTTAATGTATGTCCTAAGCTCACAAAGGTAGATGGAATGGTACTTCATGGAGAATGTTATTTAAAAACAAATCTACAGAAAAATAAGCAATTTTTTGGTGATTGGTCTCCCTACAGAGCTATAGGACTAAGCTCAGCAAAGAAACAACAACAATGGCTTCACTGCAGTACAGCCTATGAACAATATAGTGACTGCAAAAATATTCTGACTTGTTGGTTTGTTAAGGCTTCTTCCTTCTTTCCATTTGGCATACTGACTGCAAAGCTAAACAAACAAATAAAGCAACATTGAATTTGAATTTGACAATCTGAAAACTCACCATCATAGCAACAGTATCTGTAAAGATCATGCACAGTTTATATTTTTACATGTACAACCTGGCTGAAAAAGAAAATACGACGCCTGAAGACATGGAGAATTCAGGGTTCCTGATAATACATAATTTTTTAAACAATATGAGTGTCAATAGAGATGGAACTGTTTTATGGATGAATGTACTTTCCAAGTCCCTGTGGCTTAAAAAAAGGCAGTTGTGGAACTCTGAAAACAATGTGGAATGAAACCCCTGCTTTTGCCCCAATCTTTGAACAAAGCTTTACAATATGGAATGTTTTGTTCTGAATTTGAAATACTGAAAATGGCCATATTAAGCTCAGAACATGTTTTGAACATCCCTACTAAAATGGTCTAGGATCAGTAATCACTTCCTTTCATGTGTTTCAACTTGAAAGCTTGTTCTGAGAATCCTGTTGTTTCCCATCACCTCACAGAAGTGGCTTTTTTTCTATCATGTCAATATGGAAACAGTTCCATAGCAAGGTATAGTTGTCCTGATCTCTGTTGTCCACTTTTAAGCAGATATTCAAAACTACATTATTTTGGTGTGCATTTAAACTTAATTTTCTTTTCAATATTTTCTTGTTTATTCATAATTTGAATATTAAATGTTACCATGTTTTATGTAATCTTGAGTGGAACATTCTCTGTCAAAAGTTAGGCAATATCTAATAGATAATATAAAGAACACTATTAAGGATATGCATGATCATGGTCTGTTCTTTACAGGAATTTTCATAACACATTAAATTTTACAGAAATTTTAACTAAACACTTGGGACATAGAGCAGCTGTATCTAATGATAACTAGGACTATCATATCTGAGCTGCAGAGGTCCAAAGAACTACTAGATGTCAACAGAGAGTTTTATGTATTTCTTTCCATCTAGTGATCATCTGGATCATTGCAGCCTAGAGATGGTAGCCTTTGTGACAGAAAATATTGCTTATATAATAATTGATCTCTATACTATATAATAAAATCAATTGATTAGGCATGCTCCAGTGAGGAAAACACTGTTTCAAATATGCAGCTTTAAGGTACATTTGTATGCTATAAGTACACTGACAGTCTTTCTACACAAGCATATTGATACACTACCAGTGTGGCAGCTATCCCCCATATTGTATAGATGGGTCCACTACAGGAACTTTAAACAGTCCTTGACCATTTAAGAAATTATGTCAGGTGGTACAATATCACATCATAGTATATAAACATGAAATAAGTATACTGTAAATTACATGTTATATGACATTTTATGCCAGTTGGAGCTCACAAAAGGAAACTAATGACTGAGGAAACAATGGAGCAAAGAACTTCACATAAAACAACCTAGCCTAATGGCATGTTTGGGTACATGAATACATAGCTAATATTTCTGCTTAGAACCCTAACAATTTCCTCACCTTGGAACTTCAGGCATCAACATCTAGTAGACTCCAACAACTGGGGACAGTGGGACAGAATGCCTCGTGCAGGTAAGGAAAGGAATGGGTGGAAATATCTGGTAATGCGTAAGTGCTATGTTTATATTTTTCATTTTCTTAATTGTTGTGATTGCTTCATTTTTGTCTAACACTCTTTTATCTCCTAATAATGTCCTCCACATATTGGGGAGATATTCACTCCTACATGCAGGTAAAGCCTCTCTTGGAAAAAACAGTCAGTCTACACCATCAACTGCAGGCCAATATTCCTGAACACTTCTGCTGGATCACAGCCTGGATGCATACAACGGAACCAATAGTTGTGACACGCAGCATTTTACTACAGTCTTCAAAGAAGAAGGTGTATGTATATTCACAATTACTATGCTATTCCCCTTGTTCTATAAAATAACACCCAGGTGGCACTCAAAATCTTTCACTTCCCCGTAAGCACTTGTTGTACATATATGTTCCTGCTGTTGCCTCTAGCTTGCTACCCTATCAGTACCTCCTTTTGTTTTCCACAGGTGCCATCTTGCACAAGATTGATTCCATCAAGGATAGGAAAATGACCAGGAACTATGACTGGGATGCTTCCAGCTATTTTCCAGCAAGAAACATCTTGCCCCCTGTCAACCCAGTGGCTCAGAAGGTCTATTGAAGTGACCAACTGACAATCCAATTTGTGCCTTTCCCTTTCAGAATCTCCTCCATTTTGAATGTTGATCAACAGACACTGACCCTACTTTATTTCTTGTGGTCAGTAGGGATTCCAGTTTTCCCAAATAGGATCTTGATTCAGCTGGCCATAGGAAGGGAGTTCTTTGGAGGGCAGAAAAGTTTTGGGTACGGGGCCTTTTTTTTTTGGTTCCTTTGAATCAGTGTTGACTCCTGGTGACTACCTGGACAAGTCCCTGCAGTTTTCTTGGCAAGATTTCAGATGTGGTTTACCATTGCTGCTTCCTAGGGCTTAGAGAAAGTCTGGCCCAAGGTTACCCAGTTGGGCATGCTATGGTATGGTATGCACCATGCCTAAGGTGGGACTAGAACTCACAGTCTCCCAGTTTCTAGCCTGATGCCTTAATGTCTACACCAGACTGGCTCTCTCAGGGGCCATGGGTCCACTCAAAGTGTACAATTACAGTGGCTGCCTCCAGTGTATATGGAACAGTTAGATGAGGGTAGGTAGAGGGATCCTTACTGAAATATTGTCAGCTATGATGGACCTAACCAAAATAAGATTTGTGTTGCTTTGTCATGTTTTTGCTGGATGAAAGGAATAGAACAAATGGGTGGGTGTTCCTTCTGACAGGCTCAAATATGAATGGATTTGAGTCATTCCTATTTTACATAAAATAATCTTGCTAGATTAGGATAAATACCATTTTAGTTCAGCATTTTGTTTCCCAGTGACCAAGAAGATGCCCCTGGGGTGCTTTCAAACAGAAGACAAAGACACCTTTTCACACCACTGTTCCTCTGCAGTTAGTTCCTGGGGCCACTGTTACGAACATCCAGACACCAAGTGAAATGTCAGGTTTACAATTTAGAGAATTTAAATTGTATGAAACCTAAAGTGCTTTATTACAGCAGACAAATTATAGACTGCACAAATTTTGTATAGATTATGTCTGGTACCAGTATCATGAATGAATCAGTGAATTACTCTATTATGGACTGTGACAAAATAAATTCAAATACAAGCACACATCAAAAATAGACAGCCAAATAACCAACATATATCTCATAGTATACAATAGCATAGAACTGATAGGCCCAGATGACTAAAATAGCATGCTCTCTGATTCCTGTTACCAAATGTCATGTTTACTTAAATAATGTATTCTTAACATTCTGGGCAAACCTCTGGGTCAACCTTTGTATAACTCTGAGGACAGCATCACAAATGTTGCCATGCTGAGAATAATAGCTTCATATCTGCCAAAAGTAAGGCAGTATAAAATTCACCATGTCTACCTGGTCTATTGATTGAAAAGAAGACAATGAAAGTACAGTGGATGTCACAACAGAATGAATAACATAAGACACAATACACTTTTCTGACTCCCCTCGCCGCACCCCCTTCCATGTGGACAAAATGTTCTATATACAGGTAGTCCTCCCTGACCACTCATTCAGCAACCATTCAAAGTGGTGAAGGTGCTGAATGAGTAATACAACCAGTCCTTGAAGTTCTGACTGTTGAGGTGCATGATCATGATTCAGGCGCTTGGCACTAATGATGGTTGCAGTGTACCACATCATGTGATTGCAACCTTCCCTGCTGGCTTCATGAGCAAAGTCAATGGGGTAGCTGGCAGGGAAGGTCGCAAGTCCTTCTGGTAAGTCCCTCCCCAGGCCCTCATGAGCACTGCACCACACGTTCGTTCCTTCTGCCTCCCTATGCTCCTACCAATCTGCACCCTCCTTTCCTTGGCCGCCTTGTGCTGCACCGCAGCACCCCCTCCCCCAACTTGCATGCGGCCTATGCCAGGCCTCTCAGAGTGTCATCCACTCCCCTGCAGCATCCCACGGTCCTTACTTGGGACTCCTGCTGCTTCCCACTTAATGACCCAGGTTTCTTGGGGTTAAGACTGCAACCAGGAGTGCCTGAGTTGCTGTCACTAAGTGATGTGGTCACGTAATGTGATGCTTTACAACTGTATCACTCAGTGACCACAATCCTGGTCCCAATTGCCATCATAACCTGAGGACTACCTGTATCAAGTCTGAGGAAAGAACAAGGTAAGACATGTGAATGGCCTACATTATTTCAAAGTTGCATGGTTTCTCAGGTAACTGATGGGCTTGAAAATATTGTGAAACCCTTCCAGAAAGTTGAAAATGAACTCAAACCCAATTGCCATTCACTCACATCCCTTAGAGTAAAAATTTTTGGGAAAGCCATA